ACCTGTGGCTTCAGGCCCCGCCAAGTCTCGCCTCCCCCTCCAGCCTCGAGAGCCCCGCGGGCCGGGGGAGCCAGGCGGGGAGGCCGCCCCTGGCTTTTTCCTCCAGCCCCGCGTTGTTAATGGGAAAGGCCGCGGCTAAAAGCAAGGAGGGCGTTTGCGAAGGAAGGAAGCAGCTCCCGAAGCCTCCTCCAGCTGTCTTGTCCGTGGCCCAAAGCAGATGCAGTCAATGAAAACTCTCCCGAGCCAGAATGCCCTCTGCCTGAGGAACGGCGTTTGTGCCCGAAAGCTTGCAAGGAAGAATTTCTCCCACTGCTTTAGTTGGTCTCATCAAAGATAACCCATCTCTGCCCAAAGCAGCTGCATCCCTCTACACAGCTGCAACTATTGGCAACGTATAGGGGGTGCACACAGGTACATGTGCAGCCACTGAGCGTGCACCCCCTGCAAAAGGGTGAGTGTGGCAGTTTACTCTCCATGAAAAGGCAGCACCTATGGGCAGTTGCCACTCGCCTGCCCCCCTCACCCCCCCCCCCCCCCCAATGCCACTGGCAGCATCTGTGGGCAGTCCACAATCGCCGCTGGCCACCGCCAACACTGCTGGCGCTGCTGTGGGAGCTCCCCACTTGCCTCCACCATGCTCCTGCAGCTGACAGCACCGCCACAGCCTCCATGGGCACACGGCGTTCATGGTGGTAACTCCGGAGTAGCCCCACTATAGGGTGACATTAGTTCCACTGCCAGGCTCTGTGAGCATTTCTACATGTGCTTTTTTTCCAGCAATGCAGCAGAGATCTGCTTTGCAGCAGGCTCGATGAATCGAGCTGAGGCACACCACGTTGCACCGTGTGCAGTTGTATAAGCAGCAAAATGTGCATCAGCACGCAGCCAATGGCAGCAGTGCACTTTTGAGCCAAAGCACCTCCAAGGTGTTTTAGTTCAAAAGCACACCATCACCACTTCCTCAGCGCTCACACGCATGTTGCCACTTATACAACTGCATGCTGCACAACGCCAGGCACTTTTCAAAGCCCGGACCGCTGTGATGCATGCATGCGTAAAAATGCCCAGTAATTTTTATGCCCAGGATATTAGTATGTAGAGCTATATTGTACATCAGTGGTAGGCCTCCTTTTTTGGCAGCTGAGCTACAAGTTAAAACTTCCCCTGTCCCCACAAGTGTTGCTCTGACTGTGACCCCCATCCCATCCCCTCCATGCACCTGATTGCATTCACACCCTAGGGCAGTGGTGTGGATGGGAGGGGGAGGAAGAGAGATCTGGCTGTGTACCACCACCAGACCCAGGTTAACCCTTCCCTGGTCCTGCAACTACCACATGCAAAGCACCAAATTCAGCAGCAGCTGCAGAGCCAGGGAAGGGTTTGTGTGGCTCCTGGTACCGACACCCAACACCTCCTGCAGTAGCCTGCTGCCCCTACTCTGTTTCACACAGCCAGAGGTTTGATCACCCTGCCTCCAATTTGGTGCCTCCCTGCACTGAGGGCCCAGGACTCAACATGCCACCTACAACAGCTGCCTGTGTCACTTGTGGCACATGTGCTGCAGGCTGGCTGCCCCTGTTTCACATGCTTCAGAGCTTGCAAAAGAGCATGTGCTGAAATGCCTAGGCAAGGCTAGAGATAAGGTTACAGATGTGGAGCTCAAAAGTTTTTGTTTGTTTGTTTTATGGAAACAAGTAAAGATAACTACATCTGGGCAGAAGCAGCATTCATCTTCTGCATGATAAGAAAGAAATTAAGATTGCCCAAACTAGTGCTCAACCTGTAAAACCAAATTATAAGATCTAGTCATGCATGAAGGGGACCATCCC